AGAGAGAGAGAGAGAGAGAGAGAGAGAGAGAGAGAGAGAGAGAGAGAGAGAGAGAGAGAGAGAAATGAAGTGGCCGCCATGCGCTTAGCCGTAGAGGTGCGCTGAAAACATGCACCCTACCTACCGGTAGGGGCATATGGAAAATTTTGGTGCTGGTACTCGACGGCTATCCAGTAGGGGCACACTGCAAATTTGGAACGGGTATGGGTAGGGGCAAAAACAAAAATATTTCAGGCCTGGGTTTTATGGGAAATTTGAATCCTGGTCAGAGAGGCAAAACAAGGTAAGTGGGCCATAGGACGGGGGCACCGCAAAATAATGGAAATTACAGGGGCGCCAGACAAATTTTTCTTACTGGATTCCTCTCTTTTTCCCAAAAAAAAAAAGTTGGGGTACTGTAGTAGAAAAAAAAAGTTGGGGTACTCAGATTTTTGCACGCCCAGACACAGAACCCCACCTCAGGGCTGCAAACTAGAACCGCAGCCTTATGGCAGAAAACCAGTTTGTAAGGCTGTGCACTAGAACCGCAGGCTTAGGGCTCCCAAACAGTTCCCACGATCAGGCAGTTCACCCTGGCTTGAGTCTGCCTTGGCCTAAGACCACCTGTACATGCCAGTCATCGGCCGCGGGCCCTTTTCGGAGGCCGCCCACCGACGCTCGAGCCTCCGCAAATTCAGGAGAGGCCCAATCGGACTCTCAACGTGGAGGGCCACGTACTGGTGCTGAGGCGCGCATTCGGATTCGCCTCGAGTCCTCCTCGGCCTAAAAGGAAGGTGCTCAGGCACGCATTCGCGTTTTCAACTTTTCGTCCGATTCATAGGATTCGCCTATGTACAGCAACCGGCGCAAGGTTGCTGTCGTGGCGCACTGCTGTCTGCCTGGTTGGCGGGCTAGGTTGTCTACGTGGTTCTGTCTGGAAAAAGTATTTCCGGTCTGTTTAGTTTAGCGGAAGCTGCACTTTCGGGCCCCGCTTCACTACTCTCGAAATGCGCAAGACGAGAGTGAATGTTCCGCCAGACTATGGAAAGGTGCACCGCCATAATTTTTGTCTTTTGTGCATGTCGAGAGTAGTGAAGCGAGGCCCGCCCCCGCGCCCTGAATACCGGTAGTCGAAACCCCGCGCGTACCTTTGACGGACAAAACACATGGCGGGGGTATCTTTCTGCATTCTAGCCCCAGATACACTCGTTATTTCGCGCATTCGGTGACTACCTGGCCGGAAATATAGCTTGTATTCGTTCATTTTTAGGCTGCGTTATGTTGGGGGGAAGACGGGTAGTGCCGTGTCATCTCGGCATTCCCGATGGGTTGAACGTCATTCTCCCCGCGCGCGAAAACGAGCGATTTTTGACGAATTGTTTTTACTAGTTTTTCTAGACTTCATAGGAAAAGTCATCTATAGTCCGCTCGTCGTTCGAGAGGGGTTCAACGTTAATGTACCCGCAAGGGCATCGACAACAGGAGGCGGGTGTTTCCATCCACGTTTTAGTTTAGCTTGAGCGTCGCCGTGTAGCTAGCTGCGCCTGTCGTTGCAGTATTGCCTGGCCGGGTTTGATCGGCGCAAGCTGGCTGTCATCTTCGACTTGCGGCGTCCGGAGATCCCTGCTGTACTCTACTATAGTAGTAGTAGTAGTAGTAGTAGTAGTAATTGGTTCTGCTCGGTCAGCGAGTGCTCTTCCTCTCTCCTCTCTCTTCTCTCTTGGACTCTTCGACGGACAGCCAGCCAGCCCAAGGCCCCCCCCTCCTTCGATCCTGTCGTCAGCCGTCTTTCCCTGCTTGCCACGTGTCCGTCCGTGATACATGCTGGCTGGGGGATTTATCGCTACTGCCGCCTGTGTTTTGGTTTGCTCTAGCATCTGACTGTCACAGTCTTCATGCGCTGGCCCGCGCTTGAGGGCTATCGCGCGGCGGGGATCTCTTGATCGTGCGCTCGGTTGCGCGATGTGATGATCTCGCGGGCTCTTACTCGCGCAGAAGTGTAAGTCGATCTTTCCCGCCGCTGCAGGGGGAAGTTAGCAGCAGCTGATCTGCTGACAGGCTGCGCGGCTTGGTGTGCCGATGCGCCGTGCTGCGCGCGTGGAAGCGCTGGCGCTACCGGCGCAATCGGTTGATTGGTGGTAGGTACACGTGGCTGGCTTGAAGATGAGGTGATAGCCATCTGGTGTGCTTCTTGATCTCTGCTACGTGGGCGTCGCGTTGTTCATCCGCGAGCTCGGCTATAGCTGTGACCTGTGTGTCGTGGTTGATCCCATACCAGCGTGCTATTGCCAGGCCTCAGCCATGGCGCCGCAGCTGTTGATGGAAGCGGGCGGAGACGGCGTGGCGATCATCACAGTGAAGAACCCTCCTGTAAATGCACTTGCTCCTGAAAGTAAGTGCACCTCTTACCTATCCCCCCTACCCAACCATGCACCTCTACCTATCTATCCCCCAACCATGGACCTCTACCTATATCGCGATGCTTCCATGCTATTCTAGCCATGGTTATTTATTCCTGGTATTGATCATTCCCGCCATCTCCACCGTCTCTCACTCCTACTTCCCCTCTCCTTGCTACCCTCTCCTCCCTTGCTCTTTTCCTTCCCCCCCCGCCCCTTCCCTCCCTCTCCCCACCATCCATCTCCTTCCCTCCCTCTGGCGCGCAGTTCTTTCCTGGAAGGCTGCTTTTTAGCTCTTGTGTTTATCGGCATGTGGTTCGATTATTGGTCTGCAGGGGTTATATGCTCTTGATCATCTTTTTTTATATTTTATTATTATCGAGGGCGGTAATAACGATCTCGTTGCGCTGGGCTGAATTTGCAGTATTTCTTCTGAACGTTAGGAATCGACGTTGTTAATTAACCCTCGTCTTCGTGGTTAATTGATCATTATGACACCCAGCCAATGTGGGAAATCGTATACTCCACGTCTAAGGGTTAGTATTAGTAACCTCATCATGGGTTCGAATCCCCGCTCGAACCCTGTGTAATTTTATGATAACTATGTCGGCAATCCCAAGAGTAGAAGGGAGGGGTCGTCATCATGGTGTATCGTCAGCGAGGTGTGGCGTGGTATGGCACTATGGCACTATGGCACTCCCCCTGGTTTCCAATTTGGGCTTTTCAGCTTTTTCGGCAGTGCAGCGCAATGATGATAAGAACTCGAGGATGAGCGAATGAGAGAGGTAGTGATTCATTCAGGCGGTGCTGATTGACAAGGAAGAAGAAGCTCACCGTAATGGAAATGGAGAAGCAAAGCTTTCTCTTTTGTTCTCTTTTAACCGCTGGTTCGAAGCTGCGCGGTGGCTTCGCTTTATTTGGTCGTTGCTGTTAAGCCTTTGCGGTCATACCTTCATCGTGAGAGGAATGTCGCGCCATTTTTTTTCCTTTGTTTTTGTTTCGGGTGTTATAATTTATTCTTTTCAGTGCTGCGTAGTTTTGCTTTTGCCAAGGTGTTTATGACTTGATCATGCATTTTCTTTTTCGTTCTTTCTTTCTTTTTTTTTTTTTTTCACGTCGGAAATCTCATTAGCGCAGCGTTGACAACGGCGCGAACGTCGTGGCTGGATGATTATGCTGGAATCGTTCTTTCTTTTCGTGGGTACGTAGTGTCGTCTTTAGCGGTCTTGTTCCCCATCCTCCTTTTTCTTTTTCTGCTTCTCCTTCTTCTATATAACTCTCCCCCCCCCCCCCCCCCCCCCCCCCCNCCCCCCCCCCGCGGCCCCCCCCTGACCTCGTTTGATCTTCGGCGGAGTTGAGCGAGTAGATTAAGGTAAAAGTACTTAGTATCTTTCGTTCGGAAGAAGAGGAAGGCGAGATCCATCGGAGAGGAGGAGGGAAGAGAGATGGTAGTAACGCTGTACTGTGCAGGCTTGGACTCATCCGACCGCCATCATGCACCTGGCCGCCTCTCGACCCTCTGATCCATTCACCTCTCTATTAGTTAGTTGTACAATCGATGTCATCATAGAGATGTGACAACGAAGTATGGTAAATATAGTACATTACTGGTGGTGATGCTGTGCTGCGCAGGCTTGGACGTATCTGACGCAATTACGTCCACGTGGCCACCTCTCGACTCCATCATCTATTCACCTCTCTATTAGTTACGTGTGCAATCGAAGTCATCATAGAGATGTGACAGCGAAGTGTGGTATATATAGTACATTACTGAGAGCGTACTCCCGCTAGCACTTTCCTGGATGTATTACGACCAGTTCTGGATGTATTTGACCGCGATCACGTCCAGATATCAGTCAAAAAAGTCTTAGTGTGAGTATGTCCTGACAGCGAAGTACGGTTGGTACATGATGACTGGTCATTCGATGATGATAGCGGTATAAGGTGACGATGGTAAACTTTGCAGGCAGTTTGGGAGAGTGGAGGATGATACTGCGCAGGCAGGTATATGATGGTGGTGCGGCTACAATACTGCAGCCAGCATCGGACGCTGCGGGTGGAATACAGGGCTTGTGAACTGTGTGCTTTGAATGAAAGGACATCGAGCCACAGCCAGCATCAACCGCTGCGTGGGGCGGGATTAGAAGGCCGTGAAGCATTGTTCCCCCCCCCCCCTCCCCCCCAAGAAAGACACTTTTAGAAGCACTGTTTTAGTTTATACCACTGTGCTGATTGGAGCGAAAATAAAGCGCGCCGAGTGTGGTTGTTTTGCCGGGGGCTGACCTCTGAACTGCAAGTACGCTTTAGAATCATGTTGAGTTGATTGGAGCGAAAATAAAGCGCCGAGTTGGGTAGCTCGTTGCATGCACGCTTTCGAATGATGTGATCGCTGCGCGCTCCTCGTCACCATGCGCCGGGGGCTGACTACTGAACTGCAGTTTCTCATTCATGAGTTTCTTTCATATCCTCCTCGTCCTTGTCCTCCTCCTCCTCGTCTTCCTCCTCCTCGTCCTCCTGTCTCTCTCAGAGCGATCAGTAGCACGATCATCCTGATGGGTGCTCTGTGTCGTCGCAGGTTGTGGAGTGCTATCTCGGGCACCTTATTAGATTGGAATGGATGATTGTAATTGGTAGTAAACCAAGTCGACAAACCGGTTCCTTAATTATTCAGCACTTCTGATCCACTGCGAAACGTACACATACAGTGTTAAATTTTAAATAACTACGAAGTACTTAGAGCCCATTGCTGCATTGTAGTATCTGCTCTGCGCAATACCTTTCTCGGATTTTTGGTAAAGATCAANTAAATTTTAAATAACTACGAAGTACTTAGAGCCCATTGCTGCATTGTAGTATCTGCTCTGCGCAATACCTTTCTCGGATTTTTGGTAAAGATCAAGTGTAGTATCAGTTCTCATCAGTTTAGTTATTAACAGTAATACTAGGCTACCAGCCGGGCCGCCCGGGTCCCGGGTGGCCAGCCCGTGCAGGGACCAAGGAAGGTCCCAGCAAAAAGAAAGAAAGAAAAAAAAAAAAACCAAAAAATCCAAAAAAGAACTATGTTATGCACAAAAATAAAATGAACAACCGTTTCCTCAGGGTCACATCGAAATGCTTCACCAAATTTAAAATAAAAAATAAAATCTAAAAATAATGTTTTTATTTTTATTATTTTTATTTTTTTTGGCCCGGCCGTGCAAGTGACCCCGGGCCACTCTGATAGCCTAGCTGTAATAATACAGTATCTTTAGGGGGAAAAAAAGACGAACACGCTGCAGTCGCGGCCGGATTTGACTCCTTCCTGAACATGCGAATGATGATGATGGTGAGAAAAACAACCGCTGCAGCGTCACTGTCTGCGCTAAAAGGAATAAAGAAGGAAAAGAAAAAGGAAAAAAAAAAGGAAAAGAAAAAGGAAAAGAAAAGTGAAACAGTGGCCATAGACTGCTTCTCGCACATGCATCAACAGATAGGCAATATATTTCCGCATGTGCACAGTTCTCAGTAGAAACGCACATATCCCCGGACGCGTTTCGGCCAGGCTGCGCTCCTGGCTGTCCTCAGGGGGCGACGATCGGGAAATACTGTATTTAGAACGCGGAAAGGAGAGTATGTTGGAAGGGAAACTTAAAAAATAAAAGAAGCAACTCCAAAAAAAAGAGAAAAAAGGGGAAAGAAAAAGAAAAAAGAAAAAAAAAAAAAAGAAAAAAAGAAAAAGAAAAAAGGAAAAAAAAGGAAAAGGAAAAAAAAAAAAGAATATTCTTTTCTCGGCCTATTGGCTAAGATCAAGTGTACTATCTGTTCTGATCAGTTTAGTATCTGGTTCGTGGTCCATCGGGCCACAATGATATTAAACTAAAATTTCTGGGCTACGGAGGGGTCAGATGGGTAAGCTTGCTTGCTCGACCACTCCTGCGTTGCCTCTGCATTGTACAGCGGTAGAGTGGGGCGCGTCCTGTTCCCCTTTGGGCCTTCAATAAAATTAAAAAGGCAAAAAAAAAGAACGCCGAAATAGTGTAACTTGCTAGGCTACCAGCCGGGCCGCCCGGGTCCGGGGTGGCCAGCCCGTGGAAGGACCAGGGAAGGTCCTA